CCAAAACCGGAGTATAGTAATTAAAAAAGGAAAAAAAACGGAAAGATAGACAGATAAGCACTCCACGCGCTCCTTGACCGGGCCCACAGGCAAACACTAGTACAACCATGATGCCAATGTGATAGGATTCGTGCCGTCTCAACTCTCAAGCCTGCAGACAGACAATCCAGTAGCGCTTGGCTTAAGCCTAGGGTGTCAAGTTTGCCTGATTGCATTGCCACTGTGATACGATGATGCAATGGACGCGTGGACAGGGTCTCATCACCACTTGCTTTCTGATTGGCTTGCAACTACAATGACGCCCCAACCAACCTGGCCGTTTGGCCGTGTGAAAACCCAAAGCCAGAAGCAAGAAGCTGCGTTGGCTCTGATCCCTCGTATGAACGAACTCAACGCCAAAGTCCGCCAATCACGTCCGCAAAATCAAAAGACATCTTGCTGCGTGCCTGATACTACATTGTATTGTACATTTCATCTTACTAGTATCGATTAGAGATTCCATTCATGTTTATCCTCACAAAACGCGTAATAAGAAAAGAATCCAGAAATTCTAACAAAAATAAAAACATTCTATCACCAATCATCATTATATTAACGGAATCCGCTATCGATTATCCGATACGGACGTCCGATTCCGGTCGCCTAAGCGTCCGGATGGCGGATATCTAACCATCGATAAGTGTTCATATTTGTTCGATCGAGCCCAAAGCGCCGATAGACAGATTTTCATCCATACGCCCTTAACGCCCACAGGAAGCGCTGGTTTGCAACCGATGCGATTATTTTTCATGTTATGCAAATGTATGAACTTGTTCTCAGTATCAGCTAAGAGATGTAATAGTTTCCAACTTCCTTTGTACTAAACTGGAGTTGTTCTAAATTAAAAAACTAAGTTTGAATGAATTTTATAGAAAAAAGAGACAATGTGATAGGATTTGTGCCATATGAACAAACTCAAGGTATGTTTGGTTCTTAGCCAAAGTTTATCATAACTAACCTTAGACAAACGCACTCAAATTGGTTGTCATTGCGCCGCGCCCTCCTCTCCTACGTCTAAGAGATAACCTAAGCTTAGTCGCTAACCAAACACTTACTAACTTGGTCAAACTTACCTAAGGTGAAATATGGTAAAGTGTGGCTAGCACCAAAACAGCCCCTCAACACCAGAGTCGTTTTCGGCGTTGAGTCCGTTCAAACGAGGCCAAAACCGGAGTATAGTAATTAAAAAAGGTGAAAGTAAGCACTCCACGCGTGGTGACCGGGGTCTAACTACAACATTCAAACCTGCAGACAGACAATCTAGTTTGGCTTGCAACATCCAGATGAAACCTTTGCAACATATGTCTAAAACAGATAAAACATTTGTGACATATAGCTGAAACACCATTGCAACATGTGCAATATCCCGATCTATCTTTGAAACATACAAATACAACACTCAACGTATAAAAAGAAGCCAGATGAAACACTTGAGACATACGTTTGAAACACTTGCAGCATACGTGTACAAAAAACATATGAAATATTGGGGATAGAAGCTTGCAACATACGTGTACAACCATTCCAACATATGCAATATCCTGATATACTTTTACAACATCCGCATGAAATAATTGAAACATACATCTGAAATAACTGAAACACTTGAAATATAGGCTTGCAACATGTCTGAAAAACGTCTAGAAACACTTGAACATAGCATCGTTGCATGGCCATGACCTACCTTGTGGTGAACTGTGGTAGATCGGCGAGGATAACAGGGAGCGGATGGAGGCCGCCTAGACGGAGGCACTGGAGTGGCAACGGTGAGGCCCAGCCGAGCAGGGGGCTAAGGAGGGCCGCCACCCAGAGGGGCCCCGTGAGGAGTGTCGTCTCCCAAGCCACCCCCGACGCCGTGGGCTGCTCTAGCACCCTCGCCACCGCCTATGGCACGTACCCCATCTGAGTTGCATGGCCGGCTTGTGGGGCTACGACGGCAGGTGGAGGAGCGGATGGAGGGCCAGACTTGAGTGGCAGCGGTGTGTGAAGCGAGGGGGGGGGAGGAGGATGAGGGCGCTCCCAAGCGACGCGACGCAAGATCGAGCACGGCCCGGGAATAGGGAGCCAAGCGTCATGGGAGGGAGAGAGCGGCGGGGAAAGGCGGCGGCAGCGAGACGAAGTGTGGGCGCAACGGCTAGAGAGAATGGGTGCGTTCACGGTGACAATTCGAGAGGAAAGTGAACGGAGATTTTTTTTATTTTTAAGCAACGCGAGCGATCATGCCATTGATAGTGTTGGGCCGTTCAGACGGGTGAGGCCCACCAACGTCGGCGTCCGGACGATCGGATGTCTTACTGACAGCATGTCTTCGAACGTGGAAGTCAAATGTTAGGCGGTGTTTGGATCCGGCGACTAAAATTTAAGAGGTCACGTGAGGGTGTCGCATGTGGTGTTCGGATACTAATAAAAAATAAATTACAGAATCCGTCAATGTTCCACGAGACGAATTTTTTAAACCTAATTAATCCGTCATTAGCACATGTTTACTGTAGCACTACATTGTCAAATCATGGTCTAATTAGGCTTAAAAAATTCATCTCATAATTTAGTCACAAGCTGTGCAATTAATTTCGTAATTAGTCTATATTTAATACCGTATAGTTACGTCCAAAGATCTGATGGGACCGCTAAACACCCCTTAACCCGCGTGTGGTGCAAGAGTACACCATCACAGAGGGTCTGCGTCAAGTCAATAATGAATATGGACTGTCGTTAAGACTTTAAGGCCGCTAGTTCAGTATTTTTTTTATTTTTTTATGTACAGGCCATGAGTGGGACCATCTGTGGAATGGACATAAAACGTGAACATTTTTGTTCTCGAAGTGGGTTTGGGTTTGCAAGAAAAACACTATCTTGGTTAGATTGTTTTAATTTTTTTAGATATATAATTTTTAATATGTATTATTTAGATATAGCGTATATCTAGATTTATAGCAAATATTATATATTTAGAAAAGCTAAAAACTATGTGTCTAGACATTTTTTAATATGTTATATCCTATTTGGAGCTTACTTCCCTCCGTTTTCGTTTACTTATCACCAATTTTTACTGTAGTAAATTTGACCATTTGTTTTTTTCTTCAAAAAAATTTTAGATACTTTAATGTATATAACATTAATGAAGTATGTTCAATAAAGAATCATATATGTGAAAACTTGATGTATCTAAAAATCTTTTTGCAGAAAAACATATGATCAAAATTGCTACAGTAAAATTTGGTGACAAGTAAATCAAAACGGAGGTACTATTTGGGCAATCCCTTCACCATGATTAGGGGTGGGCCTAGCCACCCAAGCCCGATACTTTGGCCCCGTTCACTTCGTTGAAAAAATAAGACAAAACACTGTTCCGGCTGATTTGTTGCGAGAGAGAAAACATACTGTTTCGGGTTGAAAAAAAAACCAAAAAACGGATTATAAGATAAGCGAACAGGGCCTTTAGTCATAAATTTGGTAATTATTTATATCTAGTTTGGTCTCGAGCCTCGCCAGTTGAATGAAGTAGATGGTATTTGCAAACCTAGTAAGTATAAGAGGGTGTTAGGTTCCACGGACTAAATTTTAGTTACTGTCATGTCGGATGTTTGAACACTAATTTAGAGTATTAAATATAGACTAATTACAAAACTAACTGCACAGATTGAGACTAATTTGCGAGACGAATCTATTAAGCCTAATTAGTCCATGATTTGACAATATGGTGCTACAGTAAATATATGCTAATGATGGATTAATTAGGCTTAATAGATTCATCTCGTAAATTAGTCTCCGTCTGTGTAATTAGTTTTATAATTAACTCATGTTTAATCCTCCTAATTAGCATCTGAACGTCCGATGTGACAGGGACTAAACTGTAGTCTCTGGAAAAAACACCCCCTAATAGTGCTTGAACTTTGAACAATCGATTGTTGTTGTTATTTCGTTATATTTAACGGTGAAAACATGCCTCAAAATAGAGGAACTGCTACAAAAGGTTTGTCACTCCATTAGTTCGGTCAAGAGCCAAGACCGAAACGATTTTCTCTGCCTGTAGGATTTTCTAGTGTATTTAGTTCTTGATTTCATACGAGTGAAAATTCATAAACAACAAGAAACCAAACTGAATTATTCAGGCAGACAAAATGCTCAACTTTAATGAGGGAGAACTAAATTAATTATCCTCTCAATCCCCTCCAAAGTCCAAAGGTCTGTTTGATTAATCATTTTTCATATGGGTTAATGGGGATTAAGAGGATTAAATTCTTTAGTTAACAGATTAACCAAACGAGCACTCGAATTGACTATGAATGTGAGAGCAACTCTAATAGACTTTTTTATCTTTCCGTATTGATAGAAATAAATCAAACGCCTTCTTTAATTAGAGCATTTCTTAAACTCACTCTAAATTCTTATTTAGAGATCCATTCAAATAAAACTATGCTCTATATTATTTCACTTTTCAACAGTTCTCTTTATCTTTTGTGCACTTTGGATAGCCTTCTCTCTTTATCTTTAGCTAGCGAGAAAATAAAAATAAAAGGATCGGTAAAATACAATCAAAAACCCTATGCACAATTTTCACCTTTGCATAGCTGATTTCACCCACTTTTCCACGATGACAATCGACAAGGCGGTCGCGGTCAGTGGTCGCCGGTCGCTTCGGTTAGCCGCCGGCCGGTGCACCCGCACCCGCACCCATACGATACGAGGCGGCGACCCGAACGGCCGGACCGGGCGGACGCGAAGATCAGCTGCCGTGGAGGTGCGGGCAACGCCAACGCCAACGACGCGACGACCCGGCCCGTCCCGCCCGCGACGCTGACACGACCGCGGGCCCCACCGAACACGACGCCTCTATTTACCGCCCCTGCCACTACCCCCTCGCCCTCCCCTCTGACGTCACTAGCACCAGGCAGTAGTAGGCACTAGCTGGGGCCGCGCGGGACGCGGTCCGGTTCACGCCTCGCCTCCCCCCTCTCGCCATGGCCGGCGACCGCGGCCGCGGGGCCGCGGAGAGGGTGGCCGCCGCCGTGGAGGCGGTGGGATCCGGTGGCTGGGAGTTCCGGAACGCGTACAGGCGCCAGCTGCTGGCGCTGTCGCGGCGGATCCGGCTCCTCGGCCCCTTTGCCGAGGAGCTCCAGGAGGCGCGCCGTGGGCCCGCGGAGGAGGAGGAGCAGGAGCGGGCACTGGCGCCGCTCGCCGACGCGCTGGAGGAGGCGCTTGACCTGCTCCAGCTCGGCCGCGACGGCAGCAGGATCTTCCTGGTACGCGCTTGCTTGCTGCTCTCGCTTTTTCTAGTTCCTCATCTATGCTGGATTCCTGATGCTTGGCTGCCCGTGCGAGTAAAGATTAACTTACGGCCTTTTAGTATTATCTCTCTCTTTTTTAAGATAAAAACTGCACCCTTAAGCTTTACTCGCTTCGCTTTGTATCAAGTGTGTAGATCTAGAAATTTGAATCAAAATCCAGATTTTGAGCTTCCTGTCCTTCCTATCCGTGTTACCATAGCAGCTACCGTTATCTTACACGGCGTATACTTTGCTATGGATGTTATTTCAATGAAAAGTTTATATTGTTGAGGTTCTAGCTTTAGCTGCGTTCCATTTCATTATCCAAGTTGTTCCTGCTCGTGGATTGGGCTGGTGTTTGGATTATTCAGATTGGTAATTTGTCTCTTTTAATTGCATTCTGGGGATCAGTCATCATTTTAATTAGTTGAGGATGATTTCGTTCAGCGGTATGATCATTCCTTACTTCTGTGGCCTAGTTTGCTAGGCTTAGCCGACAGTTTTCATATTATCAGCTTGGTCTTATGGTCAAAGTTTTGATCTTTTATTGGTGAGCAACTTGTATTGTTTGGCTTTGGTCAGTTCATTAAAAGTTTGGGATTAAGTGACAAACTTGTCATCTTGAAATGTTTTAACCTTTGCTAGCTCGAGGTGAACATGTCAAAGAATTCCAGGGGAGGTCTTACTTTCTTGTTTCTGTGACATACACGCTTGGACTGATTCCTCCTGTGGTTCTGGTCAAATTTGGTTGGTAGTTAGCTTGCTGAAATCTAGAAATGTTACCTTAAATCCTTCATTGCATGATTCATCTGTCATTAGTCATTACTAGTTCCTTTCACCAATGAATGTAGTTCCCCAAGTGGAAAACATAGGCTCTTGTTAAATTGAAAATTCTGGGACTGTTTACTGATCCATATCCTATTTTTAAGTATATAGTTTAGGGTTTTAGTGAATAGTAGTCATACTCCTGAAATTTTCATTTAGTCAAATCTAGGATCTTTTAAGATTTAGAAAATTTGATGGCTTCAGTTAATTCTTCTCCCTACAAAGAATTTGAACCAAAAATTCAGCGGCAACTGTGGGCAAACGGAGCCTTGCCCAGCTCGGTGGCAACAGCTGGATGATGCGTCATTTGTCTTTGTCGCTGGGGGCACAGCCATGAGGAGAAAGGTTTTTTTGCTGCATGACGACTGCCAGGCAGCTTCAGGTGGTGATCATCAGATCTTGCTGCAGCAGCTTGCGGCTTCAAGTATGTGGCAAGTCAGTCGGCATGGCACTTGTTTGTGAGCGCAGGTGGCACTGGCACAGCGTGTGCCATCGGGGCACTGGAAGTATGAGCACAAGGAGATCAAAATTGATGGATGTGTGAGCCCAGCAAGCTTCTGTAATAGTGGGAGAAGTGGAGAGCTCGACACGGGCAGCCATGTCTCGATTTGATTGGGAGGGTAGATGAGAACAGTAGTGCGACAGCAGAGAGGAGCTTGGCAGCATCAGACTTGCTGCTGCAGCTGCACTCGGTTGGGGAATGGGAGACATGTGAGAAAATAATTGCTAGGGGCACTTTGGTCATTTTTTCATAATACTGACATGGAACTAGTTCTAAAAGTAGCTTAGAATAACATGTTGGATGATGTGCTGTGCTAGGACTAGTAAACCTTCTAGGGTCTGGACTCTTGTCTTATGAACCGAACCTAGCTTGGGCTCTAGGACCATATATATATGTTTTTTTTTTCTCAAACACGCAGGAGAGCTGCGTCATTGCATTAAAAGAAGAGAGTTACAACACACCCAAACACCCCTAAAACACAGATGACATTTGCGCTCGTTAAAGGTTAGATGGTAAAAAAAGGGACCCGACCTAGAGAGCCTAGCTATCTGAGCTAGAGTCTGTGATAAAGGACAGCCCCTTACCTCCTGCCACACTCCATATCTGGCACTCCTCACCAGCAGAAGTGAGGGCCGTGGAGATCCTTGGGGCAACACCATTAAAAAACGCACTCGTTCCTGTGTTTCCAAATACTCCATGCACCTAGGATGCTAAGAGACTTTAATTTTTTTTTTTTGAATAGGACTACTCACAGCTGAACTAGCCCTGCACCACGAATCATCAAAAGAAGTCTCCATGGTCTGAGTTGAACGGATAGCAAGGCCCACCCTCTGTAGTAATAAAAACCAAAACTGGTGGGCGAAAACACAAGTAACCAAGAGATGTTGGACGGTCTCTTGTTCTTTGTCGCAAGAGGACATGCTTCATGATGAAGAAGGCCCCTCTGTGCCAACCAATCTGCTGTCCAGCAGCGATTATGAGCCACAAGACATAGTAAGAAGCGGCATTTTGCTGGAGCCCATGACTTCCAAATTCGTTCCCAAGGACCAAAAGAGACAGCACCTTGAAGTAGAGCATCATAAGCTGACTTAGCTGTATATTGGCCTGAACTTGAGAGACGCCACACATGCTTGTCCATGACACCTGGAGCTGGACTCCAGAAAGTAGATCCCATAACTTGAGGAAATCTGCTATAGCACCTACTGAAAGGGCACCTTAAATATCAGCAATCCATTGGTGGTCTGTGAGGGCTTCTATCACTGATCTCTTATTGGCTCTTTTCTTTGACACCAAAATATATAATCAAGGGGCCAAGTCCTCAAGACGTGCCCAATAAGCCATCTGTCTTTCCCGAAGATAGTGTTGGCACCATCCCCAATTTCTGTAATCACTGCCAATCTGCCATGGAAAAGAGAGATTGAACACAATTACGTGATTGAATTGTGAAAGTCAGGAAGCTGAGCTAGCTCAGTTGGTCAAGGGTGTGGATGTATACCCAGACCACCCAGGTTCACGTCCTCGTCGAGGTGAATTTAGGTGCCTATTTCCTCTTAATAAAATAACACCTAGTTCCTCTTAGGTTGGTCTTTCTTTTTCTGAATTGTGAAAGTCGACCATGGTTTTGTAGGATTTGTCTTTTGCAGCCACAATCATCTCGTAACGCTCACCCAAGTGATTTGAGACCAGAAATACCAAGTCCACCAAGCTCTTTTGAACGGCAAACTTTGGGCCAAGCAATTAAACAATGACCATATATATGTAATAATGTGACAACACACCTTGTGAGGGATTGAGTTTTCTCTCCCCATTTTTCCCAGTTACCATAACAGAATCCAGTGGCGGAGGTAGTGGCACTCAAGGAACACCAAATTTTCAATGGCATGGAAAGGATCATTATAAGTTTTGATGGCATACAAGGATTACTCATCTTAATGGTTTGACTGATAGATCATCTGAATTCGTTTGCCTTTGTTGACAATTTATTTCAACGCATTTGCTTCTGATTGACTTATGGGTATCCCAACAGCAACAACAACAACAAAGCCTTTAAGTCCCAAACAAGTTGGGGTAGGCTAGAGTTGAAACCCAGCAGAAGCCAACTTATGGGTATCCCCTATTAATTTTTTATTGATGGTCCTTTAATGTTTTATTGCAGTTTGGACTTGAAGATTATTGAGTTGTATGGTGTAAAATAAGGACTAATTTCCTAGCTCTGTGCTGCACCATTGCTTTTAGAATATTTTAACATATATTAGAATTACAGTGAGAAGATAGTCAAAAGTATAATCTATTTATTTTATCTGCTTTTTGAACTGCAGAGTTCTTGTATTGTTTATCGTACAACTTTAAATATTTATGTTCTTGACATTTTATTTACAATATCTATTCCTCGTTGACCTTGCAATAACCTGTGACACATGTATTGTTCATCTTCTCATGAGCATACTTTTCCGAACATAACTTAATCTTCTTTGGTGTCTCCCAAGTTCCAATAAGTTAGTTAAATTACCTTTTTGTATACTTTTGGTATGTGATTGTAGGTCCTTGATAGGGATAAAGTAATGAAGAAGTTTCATGAATCAATTGCTCAGCTGGAGCAAGCCTTGTGTGATTTTCCATACGATAAATTGGATATATCTGATGAAGTTAGAGAGCAGGTAATGTGAATAACACAACTGAAAAGAATCATTTGTCGTGGTTGTTAATCTCTTAAATCCAGTAGATGCTTAGCCAAAATCACTCTGCAGGTTGAGTTAGTGCATGTACAGCTCAAAAGAGCCAAAGAACGGGTTGACATGCCTGATGATGAGTTCTACAATGAATTACTTTCACTGTATAACAAGAGCCATGACCCAAGTGCTGAATTGGATATCCTTGGAAGATTGTCAGAAAAGTTACACCTGACGACCATCACTGATCTCACACAAGAATCCCTTGCTTTGCATGAGATGGTGGCATCTGGTGGAGGTAACGATCCTGGAGAACACATTGAAAAAATGTCAATGCTATTGAAGAAGATCAAGGACTTTGTGCAAACTCAGAACCCTGAAATGGGCCCACCGGTGACTACCAAGCTAATGGATTCCAACGGGCAGCCAAGACCTGTAAACATTCCTGATGAGTTCCGCTGTCCAATTTCTCTTGAGCTGATGAAAGACCCCGTTATTGTTGCTACTGGCCAGGTGCCTACATCTGATTCTACTTTTTCATACTCAAGTACAAGGCTACTTCAATATATCATATGAGATACATGTTTTTTGTTTGTGTTTTTCAGACATATGAGCGGACATTCATCGAGAAATGGCTAGCTTCTGGGCATCATACTTGTCCAAATACTCAACAGAGGATGCCAAACACGACACTGACACCAAACTATGTTCTTAGAAGTCTTATTGCGCAGTGGTGCGAGGCCAACGGGATTGATCCACCGAAGCGCTCAACGCAGCCTGACAAACCCACATCTTCATGCTCTCCGAGTGAACGTGCTATCATCGATGCTCTTCTCTCCAAGTTATGCTCTGCAGATCCTGAGGAACAGAGATCAGCTGCTGCAGAGCTCCGGCTCCTATCAAAGCGGAATGCAAATAATCGGATCTGCATTGCTGAGGCTGGTGCCATTCCCTTACTATTGAGTCTCTTGTCGTCATCTGATCTGCAGACTCAGGAACATGCTGTGACTGCACTTCTGAACCTCTCTATACATGAGGATAACAAGTCTAGCATCATATTATCTGGTGCTGTCCCGGGCATAGTTCATGTTCTGAAGAATGGAAGCATGCAGGCACGGGAGAATGCTGCAGCCACCCTTTTCAGCCTATCGGTGGTTGATGAATACAAAGTAACAATTGGGGGAACAGGAGCTATCCCTGCCCTTGTAGTTTTGCTAAGTGAGGGCAGCCCACGTGGGATGAAGGATGCAGCAGCTGCTCTATTCAACTTGTGTATTTACCAAGGGAACAAGGGACGTGCTATACGAGCTGGCCTTGTGCCACTCATCATGGGGCTCGTGACAAACCCCACTGGTGCTCTGTTGGATGAGGCTATGGCGATACTCTCAATACTGTCCAGCCACCCTGAGGGTAAGGCTGCAATCGGGGCAGCAGAGCCAGTTCCCGTGCTTGTGGAGATGATTGGAAGTGGGTCACCGAGGAATAGGGAGAATGCTGCAGCTGTGATGTTGCACCTGTCTGTGCATAACGTGCATTTAGCTCGGGCACAGGAGTGCGGCATCATGGTTCCGCTACGGGAACTGGCCCTGAATGGCACAGATAGGGGGAAAAGAAAGGCGGTGCAGCTCCTTGAGCGAATGAGCAGATTCTTAGTTATGCAACATGAGGATATTGCTTCCCAACAGTTGGACGAGATCGAGCGTCCACTTGCTGCCTTAGGACCTAATGTTACAGAGGCTGATCTTGACCAATTGGGATTTCTTTAACCTCCATATGCCTCGGTTGCATGATGATGATGAATCTATCTTCGCCACAATACTACCAAAAGGGTTTTTTTTTTGGATAAGTACTACCAAAAGGATGAGCAAGCTGTATCCGAGTCACTTTGCTTCCGGATCCATGATTTATGCTGAACGAGAGTTCTTGTATGGCAACGTTCTATCGGTATTGAAATCTGTGATGATCCGTCTGGCTTGGCCTCTTCCATGCTTGTGTGCTGAAGCTCCCATCGCTCCATCTGTTTCTGGGTACGTAAGGTAGTCCAGAATGTTGAGATGTGTACAGTCGACTATGTATGCCGCTCCAAACGGCAATATGGCTATGATATGACTAGAATATGTACATTTTCACTATGGTACTAGATAAATGAGAAGTTCTAGCGGCGGACTTGATCAGTAAATCTTATTTCATGCTACTGGATGTTGGCGTGAGTTTCAGATTTCATAATTTTTGTTATGGTGACCCGTATGCATTTGTGGATCCAACATTGTCACTATGTGGTATTGTAGTCTACGGCAGTGCTAGCTGCAACCAGAATGCCATTTCATGCCGTCGAAATGCCGGAATTTCACACGTTTAATTGGATTTCTATTTTTTACAAAAAAAAAAACAGAAACATGTCTGCTTTTAAGAGCAATTCACGTGGAAACTGAACGGTTTCATATAGAATTCACGTGAAATATTTCCGAGAGAAGCACGTATACATACTTCTGTTGTAGTCAATGCTCCATGCCTCCATACGCTGAAAACTGAAAAGCAACCGCTGACACACACTAGATCATGACCGCATGGGCCATGGCCTCCTCCATTTATTCCAGTTATTGATTTAATTCTAATTTCTTACAATGATTAAAAACTGTAGGAAGGTTAACTTCTAAAAAGAAAATATTCCTGTTAGTGTCGATATTTCTTAAAAAACTATCAAACATCCCCAATATGATATATAGTTTGTTGGACGGTCACCTGAGCTCACTACCGGAAACGTCAACTTTGCCGAGTGTTTTCTCTCGGGCACTCGGCAAATAAGTTCTTGGCCGAGTGCTGCCATAAAAACACTCGGCAAAAAAAAAACACTCGGTAAAGAGGTGGTTTGCCGAGTGTCAAAAAAAACACTCGGCAAAGATGGGGTTTGCCGAGTGTTTTTTTTAACACTCGGCAAAGAAAAAAATATTTTTTCTGGGAAAGAAAGAGAAGAAAAAAATACAAATAAAAATCTTTGTCGAGTGCCCAGATCTAGGACACTCGGCAAAGTAAAAAATATTTTTTTCTGGAAAAGAAAGAAGAAAAAAAAAAAAAAAATCTTTGTCGAGTGCCCAGATCTAGGACACTCGGCAAAGTAAAAAAATATTTTTTCTGAGAAAGAAAGAGAAGAAAAAAAATGAAAAAAAAATCTTTGTCGAGTGCCCAGATCTAGGACACTCGGCAAAGTAAAAAAATATTTTTTCTGGGAAAGAAAGAGAAGAAAAAAAATGAAAAAAAATATTTGCCGAGTGCCTAGATCTGGGACACTCGGCAAACGAAAAAAAATCCTTTTTTAACCCCAGCGCCGCGGGCTCCCCTTCTCCCCGCGCCGTCCAGACGCCCTCCCCGAAACTTCTCACAGACAGCACACGCACGCCCCCTCCCGCACAAGACCTCGCGCCGCCCCTCCTCCCTCTCGGCCCCGGCGTGGCCCCGCCCTCCCCTCCTCCCTCCGCCCTCGTGGCCCGCCTCCCTCCTCCTCGTGGCCGACCTCCTCCTCCTCCCCGCCTCCACAGATCCTCCCTCCCTCCTCCACCGCCTCCACGGGAGGCCAGATCCGCCCGGTGGCTGCCCCTCCTCTCCCTCTCTTCCCACCTTGGCGCCCTCCCCTCCTCTCCCTCTCTCTCTTCCCGACGGTGGATCCGTGCTGGCCGCCTCTCTCTCTTCCCAAGTGCCGGATCATGTGCAGCCCCTCCTCTCTCTCTCTTCCTCCAGTGGCCGCCTCTCTCTCTCTCGTGGTGGCGGGTGGTGGTGGCGTGGTGGTGGTGGGCGGCGGTGGCGTGGTGGTGGTGGCCGGTGGTGGCTCATGGCCGTCGGATCTAGGTGGCTTTTTTGTGGTGGCTTTTTTATTTTTCGAAAAAATGTTTGCCGAGTGTATTTTGGGCACTCGACAAAGTTTTTGCCAAGTGTCCGACAAAAAACACTCGGCAAAGTCTGTTTGCCGATAAAAATTCACCGAGTGTTGTTTGCCGAGTGTTTTTTAGGCTTTGCCGAGTGCCAAATCTCCTGATTCCCGTAGTGGCTCACCCATATAAATTAAATTTCTACAAACAACACTAGTCAAACCGAGATAAAGAGGCCCTAATAAGCACTATTTGATCAAGTTAAGATCTTGTTAGCTTAGGGTGAACAATTACACAAACTAGTGAACGTGAGTAAAGCAACTAAGGCTATGTCACTAGCAAGGTAAAACTAGCTAGGCAAACACCCTAGGTTGACAAACCCTACTATCTCTAGGAATTGTAACAGCACAAAAGTAAGGCACAAGTAGAGAGATTGAACCACACGAAGAGGTTGAATACAAGATATATCCTCGTGGTTCAGTGGCTTGGCGAGTCCAAGGATCACTGCTGTTCTAAAACTCGACGACACCTCAAGATTGGCTCCGACATGAACACTTATGTATGAGCCGGCTCGATCACGAGCTACTCCAACAAGCCTCGTATCTACTATAGTTGCTCTCGGAGGAATACAAGATATATCAACAAATTACGCACAGGGAATCAAGTGGGTAGCATACGGGACACAGATTTATACTGGTTCAAGAACAGGGTACCCTATGTCTAGTGGAGAATAATAGCTATCTTATCTCTCGTATGCTTGGTGTTTACAGGGGTGATGTGAGCCAAATTGCCTAGATGGTATTAAAGTATCGATCGGGGGCACCCTACCTCGCCTTATATAGTTCGGGATGGGTGGGGTTATAGATAGAGTCCTGACCAGTTTACATGAAGGTTTCCTAGTTTGTTATAAGGAAATCCATCGGATAGAGTTAGTTTCTAAGTACATCTTGCTATGTCATGTCTTCCAAGTAGATGAGGTACCCCCTCTAGTTTAGACTTCTCGTGTAGCCCGCTTGGTGTGCCCCATCCTATTTGAGTTGTTTTCCATGCGGTGAGGTACCCGGGTACATATCACCGCTAATTGCTATTTGCCTCTCTGGTAGGGAATGAGCACAAGAGTCCCTCACAAATCACCTCTGGGCCCATTGTAATGTCCAATTGAGTGCTCAGTGGAGAAACCGATGCTCCAAGAGCAACAAGAAATCCATAGCAAAGATGATCCACTAGTGCCACTAGATGCTAACTTTGAAAGCAAATGCACTAGATCACTCTAATATCACCCAAATGCAATCTCAACTAGCAAATGTGAGTGGAGAGGTTTCTTGAGCTCTGATATGTGTGGTTATCAGTTGGGAGTGCCAAGAGTTGTGAAAAACGTGACCACACCCTCTATTTATAAACCCACTCAAGAAACTAGTTGTTACCCTTTTACTTCACTGAAAACGTGTGCACTGGAGAGCACCATAGTGCTCACACCGAAGCTTTCCAACGGTCATATCAATGGCTCTCAAAACTAGCCGTTAGCACTTTGGTGAGCCTCTAGAGAAATCCGGTGAAGGTTCGATGCCTCTCGGGTGCTCACTAGACTCACTCTCCGGTGCACCACTGGAGAGCTCCGGTGAGCACTTTTGAATTCTCTAGTGTGTTCGACAACTACAGTACCTAAGATTTGGTGGCATCAGAACATAAGGTGTTGCCTCTAAAACCTAAGCGACAACAACATCTGTACTGAAGCTCTGGTGGACCCTTCTGGTGTGCCGCCGGACAACTTCATTGCCCTAGCAATGTTTGGACCGATTCGACTATAGATCACTGTAGCTAACCTCTGGTGGCATCTCCCTAGTGCCCATCGCAGGGCTCTGGTGAGTGTAAAAACACTCCACTGAGCTCCTCTCCCAAACCTTTTCAAATAGCTAACTCCTTAGGGTCTCCAACGGGACGACCAACACCTTTAGCACTTCAGTTAGCATTTTCAAAACACTATCAGAGGTATTCACTTGCTTCCTCATCGTGCCATTCAACCTCATACATTGCAATCTTGGTTGTGTGCTTTACCTTTTCTAGCTTAGTTGATAGGCTAGTTGATAGGATTGGAACCTTAACTCTTTTGCGGTAGAGATTGTAACATACTTGTAAAACCGTAGTTGCACATTTAGATAGTTTACTTTATTGCATAGGTTTTGCTAAGGTTAGAAAAAATGCCATAGTTAGAAATAGATTTTTAAGTTGCCTAATTCACCCATCTCTTAGGCATCAAGGTCCTTTCAGTCACCCTAATATGCAAACCTTGACCTAGGATTAGATTGGCGAAATCATTTTTCCGGCCGATAGTTTTAATTGTCTTTATCAACTAGGAATTACAATTAGTTTTATAAACGACTATCCAACTCCCCCCAGTCGGCTTCCTTCATCCTACAATTTTACTTTCATAGTATAGCTTGCTAGGTTAGTTGATAGTGTTGGAACTAACACAAAAAGAGTTTGCGCCCTAGGTTATCACATTTCTAGATCATGTTATCAAACCAATATAAATTAGGAACCTAGGAATTTTATAGAAGCATAGAACATCTTGATTTTTTTATACTTACGCTTATTATATTATATACATAAAAATTGACTATAGTTATTCCTTGCTTTTCTCTAGAATTTGAAATTTTCTACAATCATAACGACGAGTTTCTATGTCATCAACTTTTAGAATTTATACCCATCTATATCAAAATTATGATGAACTAAATCACGCGAGCCGATCAGACTTAAAATTCAAATTCTAGTGGAAAAGTGAGTAACTTAATCTTTCTTTGATCGCGTCATCAGATACCACCAACTTTTAGAATTTATACATGAATACATGAGTTTATACAAATAGAGCCATCACACGAACTTGATGTGAACCAGGGAAC